TCTCTGAGGAAATGATTACAAGGAAAACAGCTTCTTCTGACAGCTGATTAGACATCGGAAGGGTTGAAACCCCAGTCACTGTGACTACTCCTAGTACAACAAAACTAAGATATTTTTATCTAATTTACAAAATGAGGGATAGAGCAGCTTCTGCTCCTCCAAACGTCAGTGGCCCTCTATGAAATAAAGATACCTTCCAGCACATGAGAAATGTGATGTTCTTGGTCCTCTTTCCGTGCTCATTGCCATTACCGATTGCACAGATGCGATGGATTTTTGAACACAAAATCTATTATGTTTCCTGCCAGAGGCTCAGATATGTACAGGCATTGAAAACACTGCCAGGTAGTTACTCTTTATACCGACTCAGTATTTGCTGGCAGTTGCTGCCAAGCATTAGCTTGACTCTTACCAATAGGTTGGGAAGTCAGCACTGCTAACAAAATTCTCCATGTTATCTGAAAGATCATCTTCCCCCCATCCCAGAACAATATTCAAGCAATTCTCACACTCGAAGAACTGCCCCAAGGCAAATTCCTACACCAAGGAATTCCAGATACCCAAGGCAGAACTGGCTTTACCCTTTCTGCCCCCACACAGCATTTGTTCTGCAAAATCCTGCTGGATTGGAGCTGCCTTATTGCCCTACAGGGGAATGCAGCCCCTTACTGCCCCCACCTTGGAGATCATGTATTTATACACAGGTGCTTTCGAGTCCAATTGCTCTCAGCACGACCTTGGGAACGAAGATGGCACCGTGTTTTTCCCATCTTGTGCCAGCCAGGAAGCCCAGCGCCTGCCAAACACTGGCCAGACACCGCAGAACACCACAAAGTGCGAAGGAAGTTCTTCCCTTCCAAAGCCAAATCAGCCATTTGATAATTAACCACCCGGATCGAGCCAGACAAGCCACGAGGATGAGGGTGAAGATCGCTGTGCTCCCCCACACAACCTGCGCCCCGCGGGGCGGCCCGGAGGAGGTTGGGGGCTGACCCCAGACCTTGCTGGCAGACACGGTGGCAGATGTGCTGGGCTTCCCCACGGTCTCCCCCTTGCCTGGCAGATGCTGGCCTCTCTGGGAAAGCGCTAAATGGATTCTGCTGAATCACTGCAGCAGATGGTTCGTAACACCACCTGGATAGCACAGAAAAGAGAGAGAGATAAAGAAGGTTGGGGAACAGAGAGTACCTAGTGTGTGGGCTGAGTTATCCCTAGGGATAAGTAACCTGTGGATAAGGTCGTCATTTGAACTTTGTTTTCTCAAATTCCTATGTTATTAAGACTGATACCACCCCTTTCCTAGCAATTCTATCCTGACATCTACAACATATATTGCTTAAAAACCCCTTGGGAAAAGCCTTCAAAACCCCTTGGGACGCCAGAGCCCACTCTCTGCCACTGAAAAACACTGGCAGCACTGCCTGGCCCAGGCTGCTTTGGTTGGTGGTAGCACCAGCCTTCATCCCCATCTGTACCAAACTCCTCTAGGTGGGGTAGGGCACATATGAGGCTGATGTACAAAGGCTCAAGAATATTAACAGGGGGTTGTGAGGGGTAGTTGGGTTTGGTTTTGTTGTTTGGTTTTTGTTGTAAAGCCAGGTTGGCAAGTACTTCAGTTTTCTGCAACACATCATTTTGAAAGGGCAGGGGAGCCAGCTGTGTACAGAAGTGAGCAGCTGTACAAGAGGGAAAAACAAACAGGAAACAGGTAACAATAACCAGTGTGTTTGCTCACTCTCCTCCTGTTAAACTGCAATTTTTTTTTTTTAACTGGGATGAAAAGAGCGTGTCAGGAAGAGCGTAGGGCTACAGCACAAACACAGAGGGTGCCTACTTGGAAAGCACTTGGCATCTCTCTGCAGCGGCTCATCCCACCTCTGAAAAGTAATAAACTGGGATCCCTCAGTTCAGTTGTTCCAAGACGTGTCACTGGTCAAAGCTGCTCAACCTGCAGCATTTCCAGCCGGGTCCTCCCCAGCACAAAACATCAAGTCATTTGAGATAAAGAGTTCTCCAGGCAGTCAGTCGTGGCTCCATTCGTGATTCCTCCTCCTCCTCCTCCTCGCAGGACAAGGCGTATTCACACACCAACTGCACAGTAGGCTAGACTTGAGCCCAGCTTTGCCCTACATAGGCTGTTTTTGCTGGGTCACACCTGCCATTGATTCCCTCAGATAACCGCTGCTGTTTCATGTTCTGCTGTGCACCTTGCTCAGCAGAACGGCACAGAAAGACACTCGTGGGCAAGCAAAGTTCAGGGTGGCACAGTCTGACCCCAAGCACCAGGGAAGCACTAGAAGGTAACAGTACTACCAACCAGCTGGGCAATATAAAGCCCCCTCTACCCCTCCACCTTCTCATGGGGGACCTCCCTCATTAACGTGCCTGGAGGCCTATTTCACTTGCAAGAATCTAATTTGAGCAACAAATAAGATCTACTCACACAGTGCTTCCAACAACGTAGAATCCAACAGCACCAGGGACCTCACCTGGTGACACTCCCATGGATCAGCATGAACCCTCCCTCAGTGCTTGGGAGGCACTTGGTCCAAACCCAGACCCCATCACCTCAGCTAGGAAAAAGCCATTTCTCTGTGGTCTTCAGCTGCACAGCAGCATTTGATGACACACGGCCAGATGCACCTGGAAATCCACAGCCACCTCTGTGCATACCAAGGCCAGACCACCTCCAGAAGGCACTTAGCACTTCAAAACAAAAGCTAAAAATAAACAAAAATGTTTCCCAACACTCATCCCAAGGAGAACCAGGCTTTGCAAGGGCAGCAGGAACCCAAACTGCTGGCATTGGCAGGGCTGACCCTTGCCTACCTAAGGAGCCCATGACATGCTGTAATCCTGGAAGATGACAGCCCTTGCAGCATGGGATTAGGACAGCAGATGCTCCCAGGGGTCACCCCCTTTCCCACATGGAAGGGCAGGATCACTCCCAACATAGCCATGAGCTGGCAAGGCAGGGAATCCTGCCTAGAGCAATCCTATTGCTTATTTGGTACATACGCAGCCTGCACACCATCCCCCCCCCAGTATCCGCTTAGTGGCCTGGTTTCTTCTCAAAGCTTTTTATATTTCACATTCCTAAGATTTAATTATGTTATCAGAACAACAGGCATCAGGATTTGGAGTGCCAGAATTCGCATTAGCAATTGCTATCAACAAAGAAAATGGGCACAGCATGCCCATGCCAGAGGAGATGTGGGCTGCTCTCCTCAATCTACTCACGGTTATTTATAGTCTGTTTGCAAGCCATCCACCTCCCAGGTTTAGCTTCAAGCTTGCTTCCTTCTGAGCACCCTCGCCCTCAAAGAAAAGCCTTTTGCCTCCTCCTTCCCCAGCACAGCACTCAGGTTTGGGTAAAATTTATGTAATTCTTTTTTGGGGCAGGGAGGAGATAGAACACCTTCGAACGTTCTTCCATACATCCAAAACAGCAGAAAAGAGTGGAAAGAGATCGCTGCAAATTAGCAGGGACACCCATCTCTCAGGGGTAGAAATTAAAAAAAAAAAAAAAAAAAAACAAAACAAAAAAAAAATAAATATTTATAGTTTCTAACACTTCACCACATTGCAGCAGGATCACCACGCATCTTCAGCAGCTTTCTGCCCTCCTTGCAGATGGGGATGGAGGCACAGGATCTATAAGGAAGGACACATGCTTGAAGGAAAGAAATAACCACCTATTTTGAGATGACTGCAAAGCAGCAGCTACATGATAGCAGGAGGGGAGAGATTGCTGTGCCTCCCCACCAGCATTAACTATAACCTGCCCACCCTTCCACCAGCAACATTTTGAGGCAGTTTGATTCTTCTGGGATACTTCACTTCCAAATAATTAAGAAACACAAGACACAGTGCACACAGTACAGGTACAAACCAGCAAACAGGCACACCAGCTTATTGTCCTCCCCTGAGCAGCAGCTGGCAAGGACAGCATGTGCCTTCTTCCTCCCAAGCCCAGCTCCTGCTGAACTCAGCCCAAGTTTTAAGGGGGACATTAGCAGGAGTGGATCAGACCTCAGCTCTGCCAAGGCTAGGAGAGATTCAGTACTCAAGAGAAGCCCTTCATGCCAGTTAGCCCATGTGGTGTTGGGATCAGCCCACTGGTGGCACCAGTGCCTTTGTTGGGCTGTCCTTGGCCACCATATCACCTCTGCATTCACAGGTTTGTCACCTGGCCACCAGCACCCACCCGTGGCTGCCACAGCACCACTCAGGGCAGGGCTGATACACAGCTCACTCAAGGGACAGCTGAGCTGCTTCAAACATCCCCTGTAACTCTGGTTAAAATGCAGAAGTGGTGCTGGTTTAAGTCCAGCCCAGTGACTAAGGAAATGCTCAGTCAGGCTCTGACTGAGACATGGCAGCTCCTCACAGGCCTAAAATTCCACATGGCCCTGAAAAAGAAAGGAATTATTAACGTATATAATAATAATTATAAGAAAAGAAGCAAATTATAAAATATTTATAAATAATAACAAATATTAATGTGGAATAAAAAAACCCCAAACACCACACCCCTTCCGCTAAAGGGGGGAGGAGGCTCAATCTTACAATTCTAGCACGTTTTATTTTGTGTAAATTTATAAAGACAACAATCCTAGTCACGATTGTCACATTGTACAGCACATACCAATACAGTTGCAAACAGAACTCCACGCAAAACTAAGCGCTAACAGTAGCTTGAATCACTCTTCCTGCGATTGTCATATCTAGACTAACAGTATTACACTAACACTGAAGGAAAAATAGTTCACTATAAAACAGTGATAGAACATTTTTATAAAATATATTCCATTCCAATAGCTTCTCTACATACTGTATACTATAAAACTCTCCCACAAAAATTAGTGTCTTTAAATATACATATTTAATCTGAACTGCACCAAGATTAAAAACAATTAAAAATATCAATGATTTTTTTTTTTTTTACATTAACTTCACAGTATTTGTTTGTAGTAGAAGACAAATCCAGTGTTTAAAATGCAGAGCAGGACCGTTCCCTACGGAGACAGTAACCACCCCACAGAGAAATAGTTTATGAAGAGACAAGTGTTAAGTGTGCCATGTTTTAGTACTTCTCCGTAGAGCCATGAACCATTTTGAAAACATGCTCCAAGCTATTGCAACTTAAAAATAAGAGACACACAGAGAGATAGCCAAAAAAAGTCACCTTAAGAACAAAAATAAGTGCAAACATTTCTTTACTTTATAAATTCAAGCTATGAGGAGTGGGAACACAAATACCAGACTATGAGAACAGCGTGTTCATGATGTAGTCAAGAATGAGAAAGTCTTTTTTTTTTCCTTATTAAAAAAAAAAACCAAAACAAAAACAACTTTTGCCCCATATTCACTGCAGTACAGAGCATGCTCATAGCATCAGTTTAATGAATTATTTCTATACTAAGATCAGACACAAACTTGTTTCAACTTTTCCCTGCTCCATACGCTAATGATGTTCTTATGGCACATCCTATTTTATGATCTTCTAAAAAAATAAAAACACACAGTAATTGAAGACTGAAATGCAAACAAAAGTGTCACAAGAATGCAAAATTAAGATTACCAGCTTCGGTAATGCTGACTCTACATTAAACTCTTTACATGTTGCTCAACATGCAAAACCCATTGTTATAAAATTTAAAGTGAAGTGTAAATTAACTAGTTTTGAAATAGATTAACAGTAATAATTCCACTTCAAAAACAAAAACAAACGAAAAAATCTAATAAATACTATATCAAGTATCTTCAGGAAAAAAATAACTTAATTTTAGTAGAAAGAAAAATAACTTAATTTTAGTAGATTTTGTTCAGTGCTATTTCCAATCACAGCAAAAATAAAAAAAGAAAAAAAAGAAAAAACTGATTAAGTAGAATAAGACCACAGTACCAAAGCCACTTATGTTCAAGATACAGTACTCTCCCACAACTTTCATATGTAACAAGTTCAGCAAAAATATTTTACAGTTGAGAAATCAGACTGAAAACAAAACCCAAAACTATAAATAAAAGCAAAATTTCACATTACATGTACATTCATAGTTTAAGAGATGAATAATAAGAAGAGGCTGTAACAAGTATATCCTGATTTTCTTTAAAAGAGGAAGTACTTATTTAAAAAAAAAAAAAGTCAATCCCATATTATTTATGTAGGTAGTGCTCAGTTTTTGGACCAGAGGGGGAAAGGCATTGGGAAGTTTTTTCTTCATAAGATACAATACAGTATTTTAAGCACAACTTTTTAAAATAATCTAACTCAGTGCTTCAAATTCATTTTAAAATAAACGCTTAAGTTTCACAAAACAACTCCAGGAGTGTCAGGAAAGCTGGTGAAGCAACGCTAATGCAGCAGAACGACATTCAAAACCCCCAGATATCATTATTATTATTATTATAGTTCAGTCCCATGTACATGTACCTTGAATGGGTAATTTGACTGGAAGGGAATAATCTGATATCCGCCGACATGCACAGACCAAAGGATGCTCTATTAGGCAAGAAACTGTGTTATCTGGAGTAAAACTGGCTATAGTTACAGGCAGCCTCAAACAAACTAAGAGGGGAAAAAAAAAACCTAAACCAAAATACTCCACCTAAAAATACCCCCAAAAACTTCCCCTGAAAAGGTGGGACATGGGGGAGAAAGTTAGGCCATGCCTTCCCTCCAGCGGTTCATCTTCACGCTGCCCCTTCGAAACACCGGCGATTGCACGATCTGGCTCAGAGGGATTCACCAACTTCACAAAAAATAAAATAAAATATTATTTCATGCTGCTATTTTAGCACGGCAGCAAACTTTTTGGACAAGACAGCAGGGCATCTCCTAATACACAAGGTATGAGTCAGCTTGAACTAAGAAACCCCAGGAGCCTGATATTGGGAGGGATACTTGGCCACTTTAGGGCTGCTGTCCCCTCCAAGGGGGACAGGATCAGCCTCTGGGTTTCAATATGGGAGTGAAAATATTCACGTATCGTATGATTTTTTTGTATGCCTTAGTGTGCATCCTTAACGTTTTGGGAGTGAATACGCTGTGGACAGAAAGAGTTTTTCCATCCACATTCTATGCTCAAAAGTAGCTTTTCAGTAGGTCAAGCCCAGTGAGGAGAATGGGTGGGAGGGGAAAATTTAAGTCAAGTCCCGAGGCAAAAACTTCTCATTTAGATTTTAGGACCAACTGCGGAACTACACTAATGGAATAAAGAGAATAAAAAATGAACAATACTAAAGACGCAGCCAGGAATCCTCAAACCCTTTAAAATTTGGGCCAATTTAATGTCTCATCTAGCCATAGAAAATAAAAGTACGTCTGCTCACTCTGAGATGCGTGGACAAGTTTCTCTACACCAAAATGTATTTAAATCATAGTTCATCTCTTCAGATGATTCTCTGCAACACGCAGAGAGCATTAGGGGAGCTTAAAGGAATCCAAATTTTTCTCTGCCATTTGCTGATAATCTTTCTTCAAGCTAAAAAAAAAAAAAAGAAAAAAGAAAAACCAAACCAACAAAACCCTGACCACGAAGAAAGTACTTCCAGTGTGAAAACAGATGCTAAATCATTGCAGAATTACTTAAGATCATTTCACATTAATAATGTAACATGGGTGCGCAAGAGAAGACCTAAAGGACAGTGCTGGGTAGGGAGGGTGGCAGGGGAAGGTGGTAGTTGGAGAGGTGGAAGGATTGCATTGAAAGGCCTCTGGAGTGTATACCTCTGCATCTTTTAAAGATCATGCACCTGAAGTGAATATCAGCAAAATAAAATAAAGGAAAGGGGGGGGGGGAAATTAAAATTCAGATGCTGCCTTTTTTTCCTGTTTTGTTTTAAAAGGGCTAGGGGGATATTTAAAAAAAAAAAAAAAAAAATCACACATCTCAAACAACCAAGGACTTTACAAGGCCACAATGAAATTTGCGGATATGTCTGTACAAATCCCCAGACTGCGTGAAGCGTCTCTCGCACCACTTGCACCCGTGGGGCTTCTCCCTGGTGTGCACGACCGCGTGGCGGCTGAGGTTGTGGGAATACTGGAAGCTCTTTCCGCACTGGCCGCAGGTGTAGGGCTTCTCCCCCGAGTGAGTCCTCTCGTGCCTCTTTAACGTGTACATGCAAGAAAAAGTCTTTCCGCAGAGGGTGCAAGTGGGGACTGACCCGTCGGGGGACAGGCGGGTCCGGGAGCCGTCCTTGTCACGGAAGTGAGAGCTCAGGTGCAGCTGAAGGATGTGTGGGCTCGGGAACACCTTGCTACAGAGGGGACAAATGCAGATATGCCCAGGAGGCACGAGGACACCCGAGGAGATGTCCGACGAATCCATGTCGTCCTCGCTCTCATCTCGCTCTTGATCTATATCCTCCTCTCGGGCATGAGAGCTGCCATTCCCCGCGAACATGTGTCCTAACCCTGTCACTAGGCTTTTGGCTGAATTCCCAAAATGCTGACTCTCTGGACTCCTGGCTTCACTGTCCTCCTGATCTGACAGCAAGTCTTGTTCATCTTTAACAAGTGGCTCGGTACCCTGCTGCTGGCTGTCGGAAGCCAGCTGTCCAAAGACATAGGAGGGGTGTAAAGAATCTCTCCCCGGCACGGGCTTGAAAGACAAATCCAGCGCACAGTCCACATCACTCGAAGCCAGGGGATGGTTAACAGACCTTTGGGACAAAGGTCCTGTGGAACTATTGACATTAGCCTTTGTTTTTCCAGCTGCTGCGGCGCACGGTTCTGCCTCTGTCGGCACAGAGCTGACACTTATATGATCAGAGGACCAGGCGGGGTGACTGCTGACCTTTTCTTTGCCTGCTGCTCTCTCGTATTCTGCAACGCTGAATTTTTGTTTGTTTCCTGGGTCAAACTCGTGGACCAGGGGCACTCCGGCGTCTAGAAAATGCTCCACTTTCTCCAAACTAGCCGCCTCATCATTAATCTTCTCTTCCGGACATAATTCTTTATCTTTCAACTTGCCCTTGCAGACTTTCACAATGTCATACATGTGAAGGTAGCTCGCCGCAGCCAGCACATCTTCCACCGGGAGACTGTTGAATTCCAGCTTTCCCTCGTACATGAATTCGAGCAGCAGGCTGAAGGCAGGGGCTGTGACAATGTCACTGTTCAGATGCACAATATCCCTTTTGTCTAACTGGTCCCTGTAGAAAAGATGGAAGTACATACTGCAAGAGGCAAGAACGGCTCTGTGAGCTCTGAATTGAGCTTCTCCAACTAAAACAGTACAGTCACACAGGAAGCCCTGGTGACGCTGCTGACTCAGACACTGCAGCAACTGGCGGCTATGGTCTGGAAACTCCATTCTTCCTTCATAACCTGTTCAAAACAGGAAAAACTTGAATGCTACTGTAAACTAAAGCCTCCTAGCAGCTGTAACAAACAGATCGGCTTTTTGGTAACCCAAGCCAAAGAAACAGCCTTGGAGATAACGTTTACTGTTAATTGTCTGTAATAGTTTTATTAAGGGGGGGAGGGAAAAAAAAAAAAACAACACAACATGCTTCTCATCCTTTCGCACCTGCTCCGAACAGGAAAAACTTGATTGTAAGTAAACAAAAGCTAGTAAAGCAGCAGCCCCTCCAACCTTTGTTTCTCCCAATATGCACTTTAATAAAATTAAGCGGAAGAAAGCACACAGACACACACCCCGAAAAGAAAAAGAAAAAACCATAAACTCCCAGGCTGTCTTCCCAGCAACGCTAACTTGGGGCATCTTTTAATAAAGCATATTCTCCGCGTCACGCACACACACACACACATAGACGCACGCACATTTAAACTTTATCCTCAGTCGTTATGCACCGAATCACAACAAAACAGCGGCGGCTGGAGCGGCGGATCCGCGGGAGGGGGGCGCGGGGCGGGAGCGGCCGCGGCCCCCGCATGCGGAAAGGGGCGGGCGGGGGGCTGGGGTGGGGGAATAAAAGAAGGGGGAGAGGAAAAAGTTTCCCTTGAAGTTATTAAAAGCTAAGGAGGAAAATAAGCGTCGGCAGGCCGGCGGGAGGGCAGGGCTGGAGCTGCAGCCGGCTGCGTGCCGCGGCCGGGCGCTTACCTTGCGCGGGGCGCGGAGCCGGGCGGGCAGGAGGGAGTGCGGTGCGAGTGCGAGCGAGGCGCGGCGGGAGGGAGGGAGGGAGGGGGGAGAGCAAGGAGAGAGAGAGAGAGAGAGAGGCAGGCGGGAGGGAGGAGGAGGAGGGAGGGAGGGGAAGGAGGAGTGCTCGGTTTGCTAATTACACCGCAAGCTGGAGAGTCAGCTGCTCTGACTTCACTGCGATGGAAATGCTACCTCCAGCTGTGCGCCTTTTAATGCCATATGTTACTCCAAATCTCGCTACCAGCCAACCACAGCTTGCTGCCTTTTAAAGTTCCAGCAGCCCCATTTATAGCCCGCGATTAAATCCCACAAACTTGCCCCGAGCCCGCCTCCCCCCACGGACACTCTCACCACCACAACCACCACCCCCAGCACCCCCCTGCTCCGCAAACCGGACCCCACCTCCCGCCGCAAAGTTGCTGCTCCCCGCACCCCGCCGCGGTGACCTTCGCCGGTGCGAAAGGGGTGGTGGTGGGGGGAGCACCGCGGAGGCGCTTTTGGGATTCCCTCCCTCTCCCCCGCCGCTCCCCCCCCCCCCGCACCTTTTTACACCCAACTTTGCGGGGAGGACTTTCCCCTGGCGGGGCGGCGGGTGTCCCCCTGCCCGCGTTACTCACCGGCGGGCGGCGGCGGCGCTCGGGCTCCGCATGTGCGCGGTGGCGCGGGCGCTCCGCGGGCGCGGCGCGGGGCTGGGGAGCAGGTTGTTCGCCGGCCGCTCTCGCGATACTTTCGCCGCCGCCGCCGCCGCCGCTGCTGCTGCGAGCGGCGGGTGCGGGCGAGCGCTGAGGGCGCGCGAGGGAGCGCCGTGTCCCCGTCTGGTGCCACACAATGGCCCCGCCGCCCCGGCCAGCCCCGCCGCCGCCGGCCGGTGCGCGCTGCCGCCTGCGCCCTCCCCCTCGCCTCCTCCTCCCTCTCCTCCTCCCTCTCCTCCTGCTGCCGCCGCCGCTGCCGCCCTCTCTCCCTCCCTCCCTCCCTCCCGGCCGCTGCATTGGCAGCGCCGCCGTCCCGCTCCCAACTCCCCGCCCGCCCCGCCGCAGCCCGACGTGCCGCGGGGGCTGCCCCGCCGCGGGGACGGGGCGAGGGGCGCGGGGCTTCCTTCTCCCGACCCCCTCCCCTTGCCCCCCGCCCCGAGGGGTTTATCTTTAGTTGCGCGCCAGCTGAAAAATCCCAGATGCTGGCGGATTTTTTTTTTTTTCTCCAAGATGACCTTTTCGATAGTCGATTTGAATTTTAAATTTTAATTAGCCGTGATCGCATGAAAAGTGAGCGCCACGAGTGAATGAGGAGGAGGGTGCGGGGTCGGCGGGCGGGGTTCCCCGCCGCGGTTCCCACCGCGGTTCCCAGCGCAATTCCTAGCGCAGCCCGGGATCGGACCCGGCAAACGCCGCTGAAACCCGCTGGGAAGCTGCGGCTGCCGGAGCCGCTCCGGCCCCGCTTGGAAGCGGCGGGGATGTCGCCGCTCTGGGTTGTCCCGGAGCCCCCGGGGCTGCAGCAGCGCCGGGAGGGGAGGCAGAGGCAGGGAGCGATGGATGGAGGCTCCGGATCGATGCTGAGGTTTTTGTTGCCCTCGGAAAGAAAAAGGGATGAGTGTGAGAGTGCTGGTGGCTGCGGGGGAGTGGAGAGGGAGCGGAGCGGAGCACTGGGTTCGCTTCAAAGCTCTCCTGCGCGCACCCTGCGTGGTGTCAGCCGGAGTCTCCAGCCCGTGCTTTAGCCTCCAACAAGTACAGCGGGGAAACTCCTTTCCCTTCCTTCCTCTAGGCTGCCTTGCCTGGATTGTAATATCCTCAAGGTAGCAACTTTTTATGTATATATAGGCATTTTTTCCACAATTTTCCGTAATTTTCCACAGTTAGCACCTTAAAACGTCAGGTTTGTTGATTGGTATGTTTGTTACTAATTTATTCTGTTTCTTTGATGTGTTATCTTTAGGCTCTTTGTCACAGGAGTCGGGGTCTGCATCGCAGACACCACTTTTCTCTCACGAACCTCAACTATTTAACTCCATTAGCAGCAAATGCCAGAATATTTGGGTGGTTTTGAGCGTTAATGATTGCATCGTCACAAAGCTCTTCTCAGAGTTATAGTATTTGGTAATACTGTCATTCCTACAGTTCGAATTGGAAAACTCCAGCCCAGAATGTGGAGATGCCCTGCTCCAGCAAAAGAGTTAAAGGTCCTGGGGTTAAATCTGTCACCGTTCAATAAAGCCAGGAGCTTTATCTATTTGTCCACCATGGCAGACATGCTCAGGGAGCAAGAGCTGTGTCCCTTTAGAGACTGTATCATCCCACAGTCACAGCCTGATAGTTACAGGCTCTACCAAAAGTGGAGCAATTTCTGCCCCAAAGTGCAAGTGCAGTTTCCATGAAGTTGCTTCGTGGATTTGTTAACTTGTGGAGTTTTGTTGTCTTTGTACACTGAAAATGTTAGGCAGAATCTTGTGTTCATATGAATTATGCTACTTGGCAGAAATCCCTTATTTTATATAATTAATTGTTCATTTTGCCCTTTCCTCTTTAATAAATAAGTTGAGAAAAAATATGATTACAAAAAGGTTTTAATTCCTGTTTGGGTGCTGTGAGCTAGGTATACTGCAATCTAACAGTGTCTTATTTTTAGTAAACCAATTACAATTTCACAGTAAGTCTGTGGTCGTTAGCGAGTTCGAAATGTCAGACAATGCAAGAGCATTCCCATTTCTCTAAGTATCCATTTGGCACGTTGCTGGCTTGCTTTTTCAGGACTCAGAAATACTACACTCAGCTTCACACCAAGGCAACGTTGGATACAATACAGGTGTTGTACTGATTTACCTACGGTTGTATAAAATACTGGTAGTACAACTCTCTAATGTAAACAAGCACAAAGTCATTACTGGAAGCAAGGCAACAGGAAGAACTGCCCCAGAAACTTTATTCCAAGAGCTCCTGCGTTTCTGACAGCACGGTGGGGTAAGCAAACCATCTGCTTTCATCTCCCTGGCCCCTGAGCCCTTCTCAGGCTGAAGGCTCCCCTACTAGGAAGCCCAGAGGAGGCTCCTTTTTCAGTCCTTCCTCGAGGGAGCAGAGCCAGGCAGAGCTGCTTGGCCAAAATAGAACTTTCTGGCTGGTGTCCGTGCTCAGAAGATATCACAACCACTGCGCTGCCAAACGTGAGGATGGCTGAATGTGAACAGGGACTGATGGAAGGTGTTGGGAGCAACCACGGTGGGTATCCTTGTGCAGCTGTGTGCATTCCTGGGTCTGGCTAAAACCCTTCTGGCCTCCAATAAGCCTTTTGCAGCTTATGGAGCCTTCTGGAGTTGAGCAGAAGGCCCGTGTTTAGGACAGAGACAGTAAAAATCAGTGGTGCTGGCAGGACTTCTACTTGCCAGGCAAGGCTAGCCCTGCTCCTGGTTGTTTCTGCTGTCTGGACACCAGCCAAAGCCCACAGAAATTAGTAGAAAAACCAACTGGATCAAGTCCATAAAGCCTGAGGACTTGCTTCCATTCTTACCCCTTTGATCCAACAAGAGTAGGTATTTACCAAGCGGGGCCTCTCCAGCCCTCTTTGTTGGCCAAATGCAGAAGCGGTAGCAACAGGTTTTTCATGCGATTTAATCATTTTCTCTCTCACCGCATTGGGCAGAAGCCTCTTTGTGTTTGTTTCTACATAATTTCAGTGCTTTTATGTTCTTTTTTTTTTTTTTTTTATAGGGCATCTTCTTTGTGATAGTCCAGTTGCATTTCAGAGGGAGAGTCAGGGCCTGAGACTGTTTGATACTTGCAGGATTGAAGCTATTTTAAGTGCATTGGTCATAGAGAAGTTTATTTGCAGAAGTTCTTCCAAACTTTTTCAAAGGCTGTTTTATCCCTTGCAGACAGCAGCGGGCATTAGAAAGACTGAATGCTTCATTCCCTCCTGTGAAAACTGTGAGGAATTTAACCCCAAAAGATGGTGGTAAGACAAGGAGCTGCCCCAATTAGCAATCTCCTCCAGCACTTACCCTGCAGTCAAATCCAAGGTCAGCATTTGGGGGGTTGCTCAGTTTGCAGTTGTCATAAAAGTGGGCATGACCTTCCCAAAGATCTTTTCAAGCACGTCATCCAAGACTCAAGAAAGCATTAACTTGCACTGCTGCCATGCCAGACATTAATCAGAGCATATATTGCAGACAGTCTCCTCAGCAGTGTGCTTATGTGAGTCGTATTTGTTTTATGGCTGTCCTGCTGATTTCTCCCTGATAATGAGACCCTGTGTGCACTGCAGTATTTGTGAGTATATATTGTAGCAGCCAGGGCAGTTGTCAAATCATCCTATCACGTGGAGAGGCTCATGGCACTAAGCTGCATTTGTAAATTACATATTGTTCCATTTGCTGTAACGTTGTTATCAATAAGGCTACACCAATCCAGCAACGGGCATTAAAATCAAAAAGGACTCTGCAGAGGTGCCACTGGCACAGGTCACATTCTCTGCAGTGAGAGCTTGCAACATCCCTGTCCGAGCCAGCCAGGCATTTAATATCACACCTGTACCTCGGCTCCCTTGTCAGCGGCTGGGCAGCAGCTCCTGCTCAGTTATTCATCTTCCATAGTTTCACTCAGCTTGCCTAACCCTCAACTTCTGGTTGTTTTTGTGACAATCTGCCATGTTCTGGTTTTAGAAATGGTAAATGAAGGTACTTTTTCAGCCTTTATAAATCCATTGGTTTTTTTTCCATAAGGGCAGCATGCTTCTTGCTTTGCAGTGGCGAAGGAAATTGATATGGCATTGATAAAGGCACACTCTCTTCTTGCAGGTTTTTTTTTTTCCTCTTTCACCCTTACTTGTCACCTGTATTTTAACATTGCATGGGTTTTCTTGGCCAAACTAATTTAAAAAAATATAATACAATCAATCATGGTATCTCCTTTTTAATATTTGTTTTATTTATTTATCAATGCCCAGGAAGGAAATCTGAGAGCCCACATTATAAATTACCAGGTGTATAGAAGTTTGTAGCAGGGTGTATAGAGAATGACAGTGAAAGGCCATAAATACCAGTGGACAGTAAGAGACAAAATTGGTGTCTGCTTTGGGACCAGACATAAGATTTATCAGACCCAGACGAAAGTCTTTAAATCAGAAGCTGATGTATCCTCAGATAAGCTGAGCAGCACTGGTAGGGTCCAGCGTAGAGTTACTAATTTCTTATTAAAGGAGAGGATTTAATTGGCGTTGCTCTATTTGTAAGCAAATAATACACTGTGTTAACAATGCACTTTATTTTAGTAACTCCCAGAAGAGAGCTAAATACTGCAAAAGTGTTTTGCTAGATTAGGATGGGGAAATCTCAGGGTGAAAATACTTACTAAGCAAAAACATAACCTAAAATAAAGGGTTTCATACTGGACATGTTCTGATACAATTTTAGCAGCTGTTCCTCAGAATATGTTTTGTCCCAGGATAAATCCATTTTACCTCCAACTACTGCCCTGAGATTTGTAAGGCAGCAATCTGCCATACTTACCCCATTGTCTGCAAAAGGTCTCTTAAGCAGGATCCATTCCTCTCTTGGGACTCGTGGGGTTGGCTGAAATTATTTTTATGACAAGTGTTGTGTTCTTCATTAGATAAATCA